ACTTAGGGTTGCTTTGGCTATTTGGGCTCCTTTTTGGTTCCATATGAATTTTAGGATTGTTTTTTCCAAGGGACTTGTCAAGTGTTAAAGGTAGGATCTAGGTACCAGGTAGATATAGAGGACAGTGGTGCTTATGGTAAAATTATTTTAGCCTTTCTTTATGTTTGAAACATTTAAAAATTAGATGTTGGAAAGAAAAGATTACCTTAGGGGAGGGGAGGATGGATTTTAGAAGAAAAAGAGAGAAAGTGGGCAGACTGGTTGGAAGGCAATTTTGGTAGAGCAGTGAGAGATGATGAAAGCCTGAATTGGAGGAGTGCAGTGGAGAAGCAGAGAAGTAGAATCAGTATACCTTTGGTGGGTCAAAATGAGATGTAATAGTGATGTATCAGAGATAGGAGGTGAGAAAGAGGGAGGAATCAGTAATGACAGTCAGGATTTGATTTTATACAGTTGAATAGACGGTGGTGCTCTTGCTGTGATAGAGAAGACTGAGAGAGAAATAAATTTAAAATATGTGTGAGATGAAATCAAGAATTCTGTCTTAGACCTATGTATCAGGCTTGAGATATCTGTGAGACATCTCAATGGAACTCAAAGATAAGTAGTTGGGTATATGTTTGGAAGGCAGAAGAAAGAGCTAAGCTAGGGAAATGTTAATGAGAGCCATTAAGAAAATATCAGCTGTTTGATCTCTCTGCCTCCCTTAAATTCATATATTGAAGCTCTAACCCCGAGCGTGACTATAATCGGAGATAGGGCCTTTAAGAAGGGAATTAAGGTTAAATGAGGTCATAAGGGTAGGGTCCTAACCTAATAAGACTGGTGTCCCTATAAGAAAGGGAAGAGACACCATGAATGCATGTGCACAGAGAAAGGGCTATGTGTGGGCCCAGTGAGAAGGTGGCCATCTGGAGGCCAAGGGTAAAGGCCTCACCAGAAACCATTTGTGCCAGCACCTTGGTCCAGGATTTCCAGCCTCCAGAACTGAGAAAGTAAGTTTTTGTTGTTTAAGCCACCTGATTTGTGTTATTATGTTATGGCAGCTCTGGTAAATTAATATGCCAGTCATGGTATTTAAAACCATGAAAATGGATATGCTCACTTAGGAAGCAAGTATAAGAAGAGAAAAGTAAAGGGATCAGTCTTGAGTCTTGAGGACTCTAAATATTAAGTGTCCAAACAGGCCAAGATAAAGCAGCAAAGGAGATTGAGAAAGTTAATGGGAAACTGACAAAGAAAGAGTCATAAAATCCAAGAGAAGAAAATGATTTAATAGGGAAAGAACAGCTGAGTTGAATGTTTTTGCTAGGTTAGGTGAGTTGACGATGAAAGAGTCCATTGGAGTAGGAGGCATCCTAATGGAAACAAGGGCAGTTTTTGAGGTGTGTATGGCAAAATACACTAAAAACAAAGTTAAAAATAGAGGCCAAAAACAGATTGGGGGAAAAACATTATTTACACACACACACACACACACACACACACACACACACACACACACACAAACTTACACAAGAATACTATCTATAACATGCAAAGTGCCGCTATAATTCAATAACACAACCAAATAGGAAAAAAGTGGGCAAAGAATATGATAAGGAAATTCTTAGAAGAATATGATGCTCAATCTCACTCATAATTAGGGAACTATCAATTAACAATGAAATACTGTATTTTGCTCTTTAGATTATAAAATATTTAATATTTCATAATATCTAGAGTATGTAAGGATACCCTCATAATGTTGATGAGTATGTAAGGCCTTTTTGAAGGATAATTTAGTGCTATCTAGCCAAATAAAATTGATTATACCTATTTTCCATTAATTTTACTTCTAAAAATATGTCCTGCAGAAACACTTACATAGGTGTGCAAGATTGTATCTTATTTCAACAAATCTGATATCATTGATTAAAAGATGCATCCCAATTTCAGAGATATTAAAATGTGAAAATAAGTATATGTAGAATTGATGAAATATAGTATTATGAAGAAGTTTATTGTAGCATTGTTTAAAAAGTTATAATTGACTGATAATACTGAATTTTAAGCTTCCATAAAAAGACCAAGGTAGATCTAAATGTACTGACATGAAAACATGGCCACTATATTTGATGAAAAAATGAATTATAGAATAATATTTATAATATGATTCTATTTCTGTAGGACAAAAATTAATGTATGTATATATTTATAGTTTCATTAAAAATGTGGGTAGGGTAAACAGCAAACTGTGGTAATCTCTTGAGAATAGGATTGGCATAAAGTTGAAGTATATCTTTTTTTTACTGTGTGCATAGAAATATTTTTCTATTTTTTAAAACAAAGATAATATTATTTTTGCAAAACAAAAGATCCCTATGTATTTTAGCCTGAACAACCTGATTTGGGTGAAATTACCTACCTGGTAATAAAATAGTAAAAGGATAACACCTTCTTTAGCATTTTGGGATTAAATTGAGTATTTCAGCAACAAGGCTTGTAAAATTATGGGTTTTTTCATGATATCTAGATCTCAATAAATTCAAATAGAGTTATGATCTAGAACTTGTAGAATTTTAAGAGTGAGAACAAGGTGTTATAGGATACTGTGGTGATAAGGTTGAGAAGCAGAGATATCATTTTCAGGCAGAATTGTATTATGGAATTTTGAGAAAGCATGGATGTTTCATCTAGCATTAAATATCCTTTAATTGTCATCCTTAAATTTGGGAAATAGAATCCTTGAGATATGGGACGTAGGACTCTTTGTGGGCCTTCAGCTGGTAGACTTCTTATGCCTATGGGGCATACAGTAGTGTCTGCCAAAGACTACCCCTCCGAGTGTCAGAGGAGGACACTCTAACACTGAGAGGAGTAGATCAACTCATTGGCACAAGTTAAGGCAGCTGTCTCAGTATTCACATTAGGAACTGGGCTGGGAAATTGATAAGGTAATCTTTAAGACATATAGGCAGTAATAACACCAATAATTTTATTTTATTTGCTTTATTAACATTTTATTAAATGTGGCTGGTTTCCTTAGCTCTAGTGTAGGTATTTTGATAGGTGGATAGTTGTTTTAAATTACTGTTTCTGCACTGGATGATTGCTGAGGAGTCCTATTCTGCCATCTTGCTGCACCCCTTAGACCTAACACCAATAATTTTAAAAAGCAGCATTGCCACAACAAATCTCAGGTATAAATAATTATGTACCATCTTAACATAAGCTTTATACTGTTTTCATCAGGAGTGACTAAACTATTACAAAATAAGTGATGATCATCTATAAGATATTCGAGCTCTAAAATTCCGTTATTCCACACAGGTCAAAATTCCCTCTACATGATGAGTTTTCTTTCCCAGCCACTTTGTTGAAGTGGGAAATAAAATGCCTGGATAATTCTAGTCTTTAAGACACTATTTCTAAGTCCACAAGATTAAATTTATGGAAAACAATGTAGGCATAAAGAGACAAAACTACTAAAGGAAGATTTCAAAAGTATAGTAACAACCCAACTGTAAAAATATATTTTCAGGACAATTGAAATACGAATATGAAATGGTTACTAAGTGATATTGAAGAATTGTTAATTTGGTTCGGTGTGATAAGGATAACATGATTATGTTCAAAAATATTAACCACTCCTCCAGCAATGCATGCTTAAGTATTTAGGGATGTAATGTCATAACGTCTGTGGTTTACTTTAAAGTACTTCAGCAAAAGATATAGATGATGCTAATACGAGAAATATGAATGTTAAATCCAGACCACGTACATATGGCAGTTCTCTATACTCTATACTCTGCTTTCTCTATACTCTGCTCTATACTCTCTATACTCTATTCTTATGTACATTTAAAACTTTTTATAATAAAAGTTTAACAAAGTACAGGTAAAATAAAATTCGAAAGGGCAAAAAATTACATATGATTGTTTACTGGACATGCAAAATTAATTGATGCTCACGATGCCTACTTAAATCACTTCATCTCTGGGAGTCTAAGTTTATTTACTTAGAAAATGAAAAAATTAGATTAGTTGATTGTTTTGTTCTTTCCAATCCTGAGATGCTAAACAACACAGACCGTAACTGAAATGTCTACCAAGTAGGTAATTCACATTAGAGAATTGGTGAAGTGCTTGCCGGGTCCAAGGGGGGCGCCTCTCCCGCCGAATATTGCCTTTTGATAATGTGGGTTCTGTGGTTCGAGTGGAGGAAATGCAAATTTGTATGTGAAATTCCACATCTTTAAATGTTAACAAACGAAAAATAGAAGTATAGGAGTGGCGCAAGAGGGACCACCAAAGTCTGCGCTGCAAGTTTACCGCCTCTGCGCGGTCTGCCATCTGCTGTCAGCTAGGACACCTGCAGCGGGGTGGATGAGCTCTGTGAGGAAGGCCAGAAGATTAAGAGACGAAGAACAGAACATCCAGCCGGCAGTGATGCTAGAGAGTGAATTCTGTTTCAAAATACCAGTCTACCTCGCCCTACTTTCACCTACAGTAGCAGCTGAAGTCTGCACAACTCACTAAACACCACTGGAAGAGAAAACTCGGTTTTTTATTATCTCTCTTTTCCTTCTCAGGCAATCGGAGCGCCATGCAGCACAGTCCCATTCGGATACCACGAGGTCCTCGGCCGGCTCCTGGGGCCGCAGATTTTATACTGTCCGGGAGCGCTGGGGAGCACTCCGGGGCCTCCCTTAAAGTTATACCGCCGCCTAGCAACCCCCGAGAACCTCCAGAGGGGTAAATTGTTTCCCTCCCCTCAGCGCTCCAGAAGAAAGTTCCCTCCGGCTTGAGACGAGGAGTTCTCAACCGGAAGTTTCGCCTTCCCGCCTCAGCGTTTCCTGTTTGGTAACTAAGGGCGCGCGGCGGTTGCTAGGGCTCCGGTGGCACTCCCGCGGAGCTTTGCCTGTGCCTCGGGCTGACTGTGGTGCCGCTCACCCGCGGTAAGAGAAGGCGCATCCCTGCTCTGCGCCCGGTCTGCAGTTTCCTATACGTTCGCAGTCATGAGTAGCGAATTCCTGGCGGAGCTGCACTGGGAGGATGGGTTCGCCATCCCGGTGGCGAATGAGGAGAACAAGACACTGGAAGATCAGGTGAGGATCAGGTGAAGAAGCCGGTGGCGTGAGGGAGAGGTTCTTTAGGGGTGTTTTCTGGTTGGCAGCACTGCCCCATCCCTTTTATTTCTCTCCTTTCCTTCCTTAATACCTTCTTTTCTCTGTCTAACGCTCCCCTGCACCATCTCCTTCCTCCCTCGCCCTGATTGCCCTTTTCGATAATCGTTAAGCATTTAAACATTTTATTGAAACAATAATTGATATTCAGGGCTATAAAGCCCGAATCGTTACTCTCTTCCTACTCCTTCCCCTCCCCAACCCCCCTCATTTCTAGCCTCCTGGGCGGGAGAGGAAAAGGGTGGTTCCTGCGCCGGCTTTTTCCTTCCTCGAAATTAAGCGCTGCTTGGAAGGGGACTTCTGAGGTTTTCGCGTGTTTGTAAACAAAACACGTTCTGGTTGATATTTCTTTGTAAATTTCTGTCTATGATGTTTAAAGCTGAAAGTGACGAGATGGTTTCAGGAGGGACATTCCAGTAAGAATATGAAATTTGCAGTTTACGGTTTTTCAAAGTGAAGATTAATTAATTTGTCACAAACTGACATAAAGTACTTTATGTTGTAAGGACGAACTTATGCCAACTATAATTCATAGAAGTTCTTTAAAAAAATAGCATCCGGCTCAGCAAACTTTAAAAAAACCTTTAGCAATCAGTCTAAAGTTCCATAACATGGTGATATGTTGTGCAGAAGAGGGTCCAAGAATAACAGATGATGCTTGCACTACTTTATAAAATAGAACAGGAAGTTATCGCATCTGTGAAAATGAATGAAAATCCCTTGACTCCTTTTGAAAAGGATGGAAACACTTTTTCTAACCTATTCTGACCTATTTACTCATGTCTAATTTAGAAGGCTGCATTTTTTTTCAAAGAAGGGCAACATTAGGAAATACAAGATATGTAGCACTGAGTACTGAGCAATAATAATGTTAAGTATTCAGATCCTACTTACCAGCTCTGATCCTGTTTCTTGTTCTGTAAAATGGAGAATAAGTAAAATAATTACCTCAGAGGATTGTTATAAGGCTCTAAGGACATAACGTACGTTACAGTTCTATTCAAACATTAGTTTTTAGTATTAATTACTGCCATAATACGTGTCTCACAGGATTTTATATACGTATTACTTATATTAGATTTTTTTAAAAAAAATTAGAGCAGTAAAAAGAAGAAAAATGAGGGCTATAATTGCTTTACCTGAATAAACTCTGACATTAAAAAGCAACTCTTAATAAGTTTAAGATACTCAAATAGGGCCGCCCCGGCCCGGCCCGGCCCGTCCTGCAGCTCCGAGCGGCAGCTTCTGCGTCCACCCCTAACTCCTCCTCTTGGGCGCTGCGGAAGTTAAGGCTGCGCCCCAGCATCCCGGGGGTCTCCAAGGCGCCAGAGCGCCCTGGCTGGAACAGGCAGCACAGCTGCCGATGCCTGGCTCCTTCAAGTCCCCCGACTATCTGTGCTGGGCGTTCAGGATTATTTTTGGTGCTGCGGGACATTTAAAAGGAGCAGAGGACCTCTGTGTTCCCTGCTCTCCTTGGCCCTTCCCACCACAGGGCCTTTGCACAGACTGGCTTTTGTGGCAGAAATGCTCTTGCTTGGGCTGGTCTCATACTGGACCCCAGCATGGCAAAATTTCCTAACATGTCTCACTTTCTCCCACTTGCTACAGTATTTCTCTCCCAAAGACCCCCTCCTCTTCCTCCTCCTGTGCCCCGGCTGGTGCTCCCACTGACTCCCCTGCTCTTGTCCCAGAGCATGTTGTCTTCTGACACCATCAGAACATAAGCTCCCTGAGATTTGGGGCTCCACTGGGTCCTCCATACAGAATCAAAAGTTCACTCTTGGGACATTATGCAATGATAAAAAGTATGATTTTTGAAGCAAATATTTAATAAGTCTTAAAGCTACATGCACCAAACAACATAATAACTAGTTACATAAAAGTGAGAGCTATTATAAATGCAAGTAGATCTTGACAAAAATATAGTTATAGTGAGATGCTTCACTAAAGAGCTTCTCAGAATTAGACAACTCTAATAGACAAAAATAAGGATATAAAGAATATGAATAATATAATAAAAAACATAGAGAGCATATGTCCCTTGAATAGAGAATATACAAGATCTGTCCAGAAAGTATGCAGCCATGTAATATGAAAAATGGAGACCTTTGTTGAAGAAGATACAAGATATAAGACATAGGAGAGTGACGCCTCAGTCTCCTTCAAAGTAGGTACCTTGGGACCTCACACAGTTCTCCCAGCGTCTCTTACACTGTTCAAAACACTTTGCACAATCTCTTTGTTGGAATTGTCATCAGCTGCCTGGTCATATTTTCCTGAATCTCATTGACTGGTCTGAAATCTCTTATTTTTCAAAGGTGATTTTCATTTTGGGAAAAGCTAGAAGTTGCTGGGTGCCAAATCTGGGCTGTAATGGGACTGAGTCACCTGGGTGGTACGATGTTTTGCCAAAAAACTCTGCATGAAACATGATGTATGGGCCCCAGAGTTGTAGTGATGAAGCTGTCAATCACCACTTCCCCATAGCTGTGGCCATTTTCGTTGCATTACATCTCTCAACCAGCAAGGAACATTGAGGTAGCGTTCCTTATTAATTGTTCGGCCTGGAGGAGCATACTCATGATGGAAAACACCTTCCCAATCAAAAACACATTTAACATAGTCTTGATCCTGCTGCGACTTTGCCACATCTTCTTCGGTCATGGAGAACCAGGACAACTTCCATTGGGGCGACTGGGCCTTCAATTCTGGATCATAGTTAATAAAGCCACGATTCATTTCCGGTTATGACTTCTTGAAGAAATCTGGTTCATTGGTAGCAGTTTGAAGCAAGTCATTAGCAAATGCAGCATGATGTTCCTCTTGCTCTGGTAGCAGAAGCCATGGAACACATTTTGCCATGAGACATTTTATGTCAAGATCCTGTGTCAAAATCTCAGACACCGTAGTTTCTGGAATCCCCAGATCAACTTCTAGTTCTTGCACAGTTATGTCAGTTGCTGATCTTTGTTGACTGCAGCCTGTACACGTTCAGCATTCTCAGGTGTTCTACTTGTTGCAGGCCTTGCAGAATGTGGATCACTTTTAACACATTCCCTACTGCCTTTGAAGCATTTGTGCCACACTTTTGTTTGCACTGAACTCATTGCATCGTCCCCTAAAGCCTTAGGAATCATCCAAATAGTTTCTGCGTAGGAATGTTCAAGCTTAACGCAAAATTTGATGCAGATTTGTTGCTCTACTTGCTCAGTCATTTTGAATGTGAGGGCCACGCAGTACGCATGCTCACTCAAGGGTGTCTAGTGCCCCACTGACTAGTACAATGAAGTCGTCATTGTTCATGCATGCTCATTACAGTCCACTCGCATTGGCTGCCATGTTACATTGATGTCATGCAAACCATTCTCGTTATATTAACAATGGCTGAATACTTTCTGGAAAGACGTTGTATACCTTAAAAAATATGTTCATAAAACATTTACAAGAGTGGATCATGTACTAGACCAAAACACAAACATTAGTGCATAAAAAGTGCATTAAACTTTGAAGGCATTATGCTAAGTGAATAAGCCAGATGGAAAAGGACAAATATTGTCTGATTGCACTTATTTGAGGTACCTAGAATAGTCAAATTTGTAAAGACATAAAGTAGAATGGTGGCTGCTGGGGGCTGAGAGGAGTGAGGAATGGGGAGTTAGTGTTTTATAGGTATAGAGTTTCATTTAGGGAAGATGAAAAAGTTCTAGAGATGGATGGTGGTGATGGTTGCACAATAATGTGGATTAACTTAATGCCACTGAAAGGTACACATAAAGATGGTTAAAATGGCAAATTTTATGTTGTGTATGTTTTACTAATATCACAATAAAACTTTTATATCCCTAAAATGCTACACAAATAGAAATTTTATAGATCACATTCTTTGATCTTAAGCCAATAGAATTTACAATAAATAATTTTTAAAATGTTTTAAAATCATTTAAAAATTATTTATTAAATAATTTTAAAGTGACCCTCCATCTTAAATACTTAGATATGTTTCTTAGAAATATATTCCTGGGTGGTCTGTCTATCAAAGAGAAATTGAAAAGGAAAAAAAAAAATCACCTTTTAGATAATAATAAAAGGAGGCTACTTTATGCCCAGATCCATGGGAAACAGCAAAAGTCTTACTTGGAGAAAACTTACAGACTTAAATGCCTTCTTTTAAATTATTTATTAGAAAAACGGCCTCACTCTGTCTCCCAGGCTGGAGTGCAGTGGCATGATCGTAGCTCACTGTAACTTCCAACTCTGGGGCTCAAGCAATTTTTCTGCCTTAGCCTCCCAAGTAGCTAGGACTATAGGTGTGTGCCACCACACTCAACTAATTTAAAAAAAATTTTTTGTAGCAGAGGGTCTTGCTATGTTTCCTAGGCTGGTCTCAAACTCCTGGCCTCAAGGGATCCTCCCACCCTAGCCTCCCACAGCACTGGGATTACAGACATGAGCCAGCATGCCAAGCCAAATGCTCTTATTATTAAATCAGTAAGACAAAAAGTAAAGAAACTAAGAACTCATCTTAATAAATTTTAAAAATCAGCAAAGTAAACAAAAGAAGGAATTAAATATTTTGTTTCACATTTCAGTGGATTGTGTTGTACACCCTGTGGAAGTATCCCTAACTTTGGGGACTGTAGCTCAAGATTATAAGGAAGGATATTTTTATTTTGTTGAGCTTTTATGCTGCTTTGAGGGGTGACACATTCTAATGGTCCTGAGAATCTGTCTTGTAATTTCCCAAAGGTTTATTTTGTTTGTTTGTTTAACATTTACACTGTTTTGTTTCTACTCAGAGTTCTAATTCAAATGTAAACAAAATACATTAAGAAATAGGTTCTAAAGACATAAGTTAGTTGTTCTGTTATGCTTAGCCTAAATCTATGGGTTTTGAAAAGGAGTTCAGGGAGAAGAAATTACATCTGGTGCTTAGCCACTATTCAAAATTATAGTTCCAGCTCTGTGGTTTTGTTATGTGTTGTTAGTATGCTCTTGTTTGCATAAGACATCTTATGGTTTAATTGTGGAATAGAATCTCATTTTTGTCCTATAAAAATATAGTAATACATATGAAAAGTGCATTTTAGCAGTGGATCCTGCTACTGCTGCAAATGTAAGAGAGATTTCTATTCTGTGTAATATGGTGCTAATTTTTCCACAATAATCTCCAAATCATAACACTATTTGTAATATATAAAAAGTCAGTAGATTTTAGAACTTCATACCAGTATTTAAAGAAGCAAAGTGCTACGTACTGAATGTTTGTGTTCTCCCAAAATTCATATGGTGAAGTCCTAATCCCCAATATGATGGTATTTGGAAATGGGGTCTTTGGGAGGTAAATAGAAGTACAGCCCTCATCAATGACATTAGTGCCCTTGTAAGAAAAGACAAGAGAGAAATGACCTTTCTCTGCCACGTGAGGGTATAGCAAGAAGGCATCTGTCTGCAAACAAGGAAGAGGGCCCTCACCAGGAACCACATTGGCCAGCATCTTGATCTTGGACTTCCCAGCCTTCAGAATTGTGAGGATTAAATTTCTGTTGTTTAAGCGATGCAGTCTATGGTATTTTTGTTATAGCAGCCCAAATTGACTAAGACACATAGTAAATGAAGATTTGCTGCAGTAGCGGGATCCACTGCTAAAATGCATTTTTCATATAGTGGTACTATATATTTATAGGGCCAAAATGAGATTCTATTCCATAATTAAACCACAAGATGTCTTAAGCAAACAAGAGCATACTAACAACACATAATTTTAGGTCCTTTAATATAGTAAAACTTAAGACTTTGGTTAATCACAGCGTTTATTATTTACAGTTGTCAAAGCTGCAGAATGAAAGAGCAAACTTACAAGATCAGTTACGTGACTATGAAGATCGAATTAATGCTATGACTTCTCACTTCAAAAATGTCAAGCAAGAGTTCTCATTTACACAGGTATAGTAATATTGAAATTTATGTTGATTATATCATGGGTAGTCATAGAATACTTCACAGTGCATTTACATCTGTGATTTTATTTTAGAACTATAACAGGAAACTTTAGTATATTTAAACTGTTGTGAACATAATCTTAAACCTGAACGTAGGTAGAAAAAAAGGCTTTGAGGAACTAACTACTGACATCAGTTTTAAACAAAAAATTAATTCATATGAAAGGGGAAATCATCATTCAAACAACCTAATATAATGTTAAGCAGCAGATTATTTGAGAAGGGTACAATGACGGCAGTGAGAAATGATGACTCTAAGCAGAAATAAAGCTAATTTAATACATGATAGAATTTCCATCTCCTTTTTAATTTTTCAGCACAACCCACTGGGGCCATTTTGAGTGTATGCTAATAATCCACACACATGATATTTTAGCATAGTTCAATAACTGAAATTTATAATAATAATAATCATGAAATAAAAAAGTTAAATTATCTTTAAGATAACTGGGGGACAGTATAATGCATTTTAGAAATATTAACACAAATATAATAAAAATTAAAACTTAGAATTATTAATAATTTTCTGTTTTATGAACAATATTCAAGTATAGAAACTCACTGCCTTATGGTGCCCAGCAAACTAGGCAGGTTGGGAAATCAACATTGGAGAGTTTACTAACTGCTATCTCAAACTATTTTTTTTTAATGCATCTACCTTTCTGAGAAAAAGTATGTAATTTTAAAAAATGAATAGAGTCATGTTTTAAAAGAAATTTACAATCAATATAGGTTAAGTATATTTCGTGGCTTACAAACCTTATTAGAAAATTGCAAATTTAATGAACTTTTAAAAACAATGCTTAGGATTCTTGAATCCTGATATGATTGAGTGATTGATAAACTATGTGGAACACCAATTTTCCTCAAGTTATTAAACTACTGAGGTGGGGATTTGAGAGACAGAGATTCTCTATAGTTATATCTTATTACCATCAAACCTCGATTAAATAGGATAATACAGACAAAAGACAATAAGCCACCTACAAAACTAGTAGCTTTCATACTGTAAAATTAATAATGAGACTGATAACTTTGAAGCACTATAAGATCAGTAGTCAATAAATACTCTTTTATTAAATAAAACCTAACACAAAGGCATGATTGTATACTAATTTATTCTAGGGGATATTTATAACCATAAGTGTTTAAATAATTTTTTAAAAATTATGTCCATTACAGTATATGATCAATTCTTACAAACATCTCATTTCTCAATTATTTTTTAATCCATATTTATATGTAGATAAGCAGTGAGTTATAGCTTTTAAGTCTTACCATATAAACTTTGGTAACTTTGGGTTTTTTTTAGTTTTCCTAGATCAACATAATATCTGAAAACTGCTAACAATATTTTTTCCTAGCACACTTCATTGACTTCCTTACAACTAGTGAGCAACACCAACTAACTGTAATAACAGTTTAATGTGGTGTAGGTTTCAGAGTAGTGGAATTAATAGTATTTAATCTAAGTGTTTTGTGGGAACTTTTTTTTGTCTAATGGATTATTATAAATATTTTAAAATATTAAAATTGTAAAAGTCTTTCTGTCATGTGTATTGTTCTGTAGTCTCTTTACAAGGCAAGAGAGTATGAGATTGAAAGTGAAGAACACTTTAAAGCCATTGCTCAAAGAGAATTGGGACGAGTGAAAGATGAAATCCAACGACTGGAAAATGAGATGGCTTCTATACGGGAAAAGAAAAGTGATAAAGAAGTATGTGTTGAAATGTTACTTAAAATTCTGTGCTACTGCTCCTTCTTCCCTCACCAAATGAGCGTTGCTTTCTTTCCATGTAGGAAAGGCATTCATTACTTTCCTGTTATTTACTTACATTGTTTTTTGAACAATGAAAGGCATATGGAGTTGTGATTGCAACGAAACAGTAATAGAATATTATATTTTTCCCTGTTATTCATTCACCAGCTACTTATTGAGACTTAGTATGTGCAAATTGCTGGCTGCCAGTTGTAAAATATGGAATATGATTTATATGTTAAGTGCTACATTTTTAACAGCTACATTTTTAAAAAAATCACTTTTAGTTTTGAATTTCATTAAAAATTTTTACTTTTCATGTTAATTTGTCAGCTTTGTGAATCTGACATTAAATTACTTTAACCTATTTCTCTCTTTTCTTTAGTTTTTGGTTTTAGCTTGATTTGGGAACTCTTTCTAAATTCTCATTCTTCTCTTTACACATATATATGCATATGTATATGTATACATAAATACATACTACTTCTCTTTATATTTACATATATACATGCATATGTATATATATACATACATACATATTTTAATTTTATGTGATGTTTATATAATAATAATTATATATTTATTAATTTACATTAAATATTTGTTTATCTATTGTTCTCTGTTTTCTTTCATGAGTCTAGATTTTTTTTTTTGAGACAGAGTCTCACTCTGTTGCCTGGGCTAGTGTGCCATGGCATCAGCCTAGCTCACAGCAACCTCAAACTCCTGGACTCAAGCGATCCTCCTGTTTCAGCTTCTCAAGCAGCCGGGACTATGGGCACACACCACCACACCTGGCTAATTTTTCTATTTTTAGTAGAGACGGGTCTCACTCTTGCTCAGGCTGGTCTCAAACTCCTGACCTCAAGTGATCCTCCTGCCTTGGCCTCCCAGAGTGCTCGGATTACAGACGTGAGCCACTGCACCCAGCCTCTTTCAGGAATCTAGATTTGTTAAATGACCAAATTTACAGAAATATTTTTATCTCCTTTACTATATTTACTTCAATTAGGAGTGCTTCTAAAATTTCTGTGTAAGAGACCTCTCAGTGGCAGTAATATGATTAGAAATAGGACTGATGGGAATTTGTCTTGGGTTTTAGTTAGCATATCAAACATGTTATTTTAACTAAGATTGCATATATATTTAGGGTGACTTTGGTAGAGTGACTAATGCAATTACTTATAAGGGAGCTACCCTAAAGCCTAAAGCCTTTTTAAGTGACCTTTGGCTCAACTACTGTTCTTGACTTTGTATAATCATCTCTCCTCTAGTTTATAATCAAAGAATTAAAATATGATAGTTCTATAATTAAATATGGTATATTATAGACATCTAGAAGGCAGAGACAAGATTTCTTCTTTCTTTTTAATATGTTTTATCATATATAATGTTATATTTTATTTTAGTTTATTTAGTAAATGTTTTGTACTCTGCTTTTTTCTCTCTTTCTTTGGAAATTAGAATGGTATATTTAAAGCTACTCAAAAATTGGATGGTTTGAAATGTCAAATGAACTGGGACCAGCAAGCTTTGGATGCCTGGTTAGAAGAATCAGCTCATAAAGATAGTGATGCCCTCACTCTTCAGAAGTATGCACAACAAGATGATAATAAAATTAGGGTGAGAAATTATAAAATGTAATTGTTGGGTTTTCTCTGTAGTTTGCCAACTTATTTCCTTAAAATTGTACTTATAATTTTTAAATAGCAATTTTTAAACTTTTTTTGAATCTGGGACTTGTTGAGGATTTAATAAAGCCAATTATCCTCTCTGTAGAAAAAATATACTCAAATACCCATAAAATTTTGCTGACTGTTTCACAGGTCCTCCGAAGCCCTTTGACCATTTTGGGATCCATGAGCCCCAGGTTAAGAATGTCCTGATTTATAAGGATTCTCAAAAGCATTTCAGAAAAGAAAGTTTTGTATGAGGACTATTTATATATATTTTAGCTATTTTGTCTAAAATATAGTTTGAATATGTTACTGAAAGCTGAGCACTTGCCCTCGAGGCCACATCAGAAAAGAACAAGAACAAGTGGTTAAGGAGAAGGAAAGAGAAGTTTATTACTTTGCTGGCAAAGGAAGAAAATAGTAGATTTTCTCATCTCAAAATCCAAATTCCTATCTGTAAGCAGAAATACAGAGCTTTTAAAGGGAAGGCCCTCAATTCTAGGCTGTTGTCATTCATGGATTGGATTCTTACCGTCCCATCTCTGCCCATCTCTGCCAAAGATAAAGCCTGTGACCTCTGCCCACCTGGAAGGCTGTCCCCAAGCCTGGGATGGCTGAGCTATCTCCTGTAACACAAAGAACAACAGATATTCCCCTGCCCCTCCTGAACACCTGCCCCAGACAGGGATGAAGGCCAGGCCGCAGTTCCAAAAAAGAGCACGGAAAGTTTTAAAGAGAACACATCTTTGCTGTTTTTTTTATTTTTTTTCACCCCCGGGCCATTCCCTCTGTTACATATTCTCCACTCTCAATTTTACGCTTCCATACCTATGGGAGGAGGGGACTATGCCATTACAGATATTACATATAGTTTTTGCTGATTGGAGACTGGAGTGCTGTTGATTGATAATTATGAAAACTATCATTTAAAATCCACTTAAAATTACATCTGGTGATACTAACAAAGTTAGTATTATAAAACATGCTATTTTCTGGTAGGTTTAATACCAAATACATTATTTTAAATAATTTCAAATGGCAAATTATAATTTAATCTTTTTTCTAATTTACCTTAAAAAGTGTTAAAAGTTATTTTAGAAATAATTGAGTTTTCATACAGCTATATACAAACACATTAGATTAGCCCTTTGAGGTTAGAGGATAAGGAAAGTATAGTTGTTTTAGATATTGAATAAATGTATACATAAAATATAATAATATTTAGTGCTAGAGAAACTAATGCTTTAAAAATAATAAAATGATAATTATAAATATTTTTGTATGTAACTACATCATAGGCACTGACTCTGCAATTAGAAAGACTAACTTTGGAATGTAATCAGAGAAGAAGGGTACTTGACAATGAACTTACAGAGACTCTAAGTGCACAGGTTAGTTTAATGAAGATTTTTATTTCTAAATTTTCAAAGTGATGTTTGCAAAAGCACTTAAATTCACAAATATGTTGTTTACTTTCTCTTTGACAGTTAGAATTGGATAAAGCAGCACAAGATTTTCGTAAGATTCATGAAGAAAGGCAAGAACTCATTAAACAGTGGGAGAATACAATTGAACAGATGCAGAAGAGGGATCAAGACATAGATAACTGTGCTTTGGTAAAGTAGTTGTTTGGTCCTTGTAATATTCAGCTGTATTTGTCTCTTCTGTATTTAACTCATTATTTCAAATGTAAATCACATTGTTTTTTGAAAGTTACTTTTATAGCAAGATTCAGTAGTTTTGGTGTTTTTGAAAGCTGACTCTGTATCTATTTTGAAATGTGATTTCATGAAGATTATTTGTTTATAGTAGTATAATCCCCAAAGACTAGATCTTGCCACCTCTGAATTGTGGAACAAGAGAAAGTCAACAGATAATATTATTGCAGTAAAACTGATGCCCTGAGTTACACATGGTTGCCCAAAGTGCCTTGGATTTAATATGTATGCTCTTTGGCAGCAAGTGACAGTTGTAGGGAAATGAGCCTCCATGGATAACCAAAAAACAAGGAAAGAGAGTCAAAAAAGAAATCTACACTGCAATAAAGTTTCACTTTTGAAGCTGGGGCACCAATACTGAAGTAGAAGATTGGAAGGGAGAAATAGTGCATGGATAACACAGACTTATTTTACCTCTTGTTACTTTCAGAGATAATTTAGGAAAATGTTCTTGGAAAATCATTAAAGAATAAAATAATGGTGAATAGAAATGGGAAAGTTAGAAGGAGTTGGGAAGGAGAAGGAATTGAGGAGGAAAGGAGGCAGGTGAAAAGATATGTTAAATTCCATTCTGAGTTTACTCCATGGAAAGGCATTTGACAAGCAGCTAAGGCCACTGGGAGTTTGGAATTCTGATATCTGGATGTGGTTTCCTTGCAATTTTTGTATTTTAAATTTCTGTAAAAATAACCAACATTTTATCAAAAAAATGAGTTATGCCTGCCTAGGAGGGATAAGGGGGAAGCAGTCATAGCTATGAGGTCCTCTTAATTCTTTTTTTGGCAGAAGGAGGTGAGCACTTAAACAACAGACATTTATTTCTTCACAGTTCTGGAGGCTCCAAGTCTGAGAACAAGGTGTCAGAAGGGTTGATTTCTTTGGAGGTCTCTCTCCTTGGCTTGTAGATGGCCATCATCTCCATGTGTCTTCATCTGGTCTTCCCCCGTGCCTGTCTGTGGGTGTCCTAATCTCTCTTTTTTAAAAAAATTTAATTAATTTTTTTATTTCAAAATATTACAGCTGTACAAATGTTTTTGGTTACATGTATTGATTTTGTTATGCTTGAGTCGGGTTATAGGTGTGCCTATCACCCAGATAGTGTTTATTGTAACTGTTAGGTAGGTTTTTGCCCATCCCTTCCTTCCTCAGCCCCCTCCCCACTGCTTGATTTCTGCTGAGTTTTACTGCCCTCTGTGCACATGTGTGTTCATCAGTTAATTCCAATATAATAGCGAGTATATGTGATATTTGTTTTTCCATTCTGTAGATAATTCACTTAGGATAATGGTCTCCAGTTCCATCCAAATTGTTGAAAAAGGCCTTAATTCATCCTTCTTCACAACTGAGTAGTACTCCATAGTATACATATACCACATTTTGTTAATACACTCATCATGAATTGATGGGCACCTGGGTTGATTCCACATCTTTGCAATTGTGAATTGTGCTGCAATAAATGTTCGAGTACAAGTATCTTTTTGACAAAATGACTTCTTTTCCCTTGGATAAATACCCAGTAGTAGGATTGCTGGATTAAATGGTAGGTCTACTTTTAGTTCTTTCAGGAATGTCCATACTGTTTTCCATAGAGTTTGTACTAAGTTGCCGTCCCACCAACAATGTATAAATGTGTTCCTTTCTCTCTGCATCCATGCCATCATCTATTGTTTTTGGACATTTTAATAAAAGCCATTCTGACTAGGGAAAGGTGATATTTTATTGTGGTTTTAATTTTCATTTCACTGATAATTAGTGACATTGAGCATTTTTTCATATGTTTATTGGCCATTTGTCTATCTTCTTTTGAAAAGCTTCTGTTCATGTATTTTGCCCACTTTTTAATGGGGTCGTTTGTTTTTCCTTGCTGATTTGCTTGAGTTCTTTGTAGATTCTGGTTATTAGCCCTTTATCAGATATATACCGTGCAAATATTTTCCCCCATTCTGTAGGTTGTCTATTTGCTCTGTTGATTATTTCCTTAGCTGTGCAGAAGCTTTTTAGTTTAATCAAATCCCATTTATTTATTTTTGTTGTTGCTGTAATTGCCATTGGAGTCTTCATAAATCCTTTGCCTAGGCCTATATATAGAAGAATTTTTCTAACATTTTCTTCTAGAATTCTTACGGTTTCATGCCTTACATTTAAGTCTTTTATCCATCTCGAATTAATTTTTGTGAGTGGTGAGAGATGTGGATCCTGTTTCATTCTTCTGTATGTGGCTATCCAATTTTCCCAGAATCATTTATTGAATAAGGCTTCTTTTCCCCAGTGGATATTGTTGTCTGATTTCTCAAAGATCAGTTGGCTGTATGTGGATGGTTTTATATTTGGGTTCTCTGTTTTGATCCATTGGTCTATGTCTCCATATTTGTGCCCATACCCTGCTGTTTTGGTTATAGCCTTGTAGTATAGTTGAAGTGTGGTAATGTGATGCCTCCAGACTTGTTCTTTTTGCTTAAGATTGCTTTGGCTTTTTGGTCTCTCTTCTCATTCCAAATGATGCATAGAATTATTTTTTCTAGATCTGCGAAATATGACGTTGGTATTTTAATGGGGATTGCATTGAATCTGTAAATCACTTTGGATAGTATGGACATTTTAACAAAGTGGATTCTACTGATCCCTGAACATGATACATTTTTCCGTTTGTTCATGTTCTCTGTGATTTCTTTCCACAATGTTTCATAGTTCCCTTTGTAGAGATCTTTGACCTTCTTTGTTAAGTATATTCCTAGATATTTTATTTTCTTGGTAGCTATTGTGAATGGTAGTAAGTCTTTGATTTGACTCTCAGCTTGACTGTTATTGGTGTATAGGAATGCTACTGATCTGTGTACATTGATTTTATAACCTGACACTTTGCACAAATTGTTTATTAATTCTAAGAATCTCTTGGTGGAGTCGTTGGGGTTTTCTAGATATAAGATCATATCATCAGCAAAATGCTATAGTTTGACCTTTTCTTTCCAGGTTGGATACTGTTTATTTCTTTCTCTTGCCTGATTGCTCTGGCTAGGATTTCCAGCACTATGTTGAATAGAAGTGGTGACAGTGGGCACCCTTGTCTTGTTCCAGTTCTCCATGGGAATGCTTTCCACTTTCCCCATTCAATATGATATTGGCTGTGAGTTTGTCATATATGGCTTTTATAATCTTGAGATATGTTCCTTCTGTGCTTAATTTGTTGAGGGTTTTTATCATGAAAGGTGCTGAATTTCATCAAATTCTTTTTCTGCATCTACTGAGATGATCATATGGTCTTTGCTTTTGCTTGTGTTTATGTGGTGAATTATATTTATTGATTTATGGTATGTGGAACCATCCTTACGCCCCTGGGTTGAAGCCCACGTGATTATGGTGTATTATTTTTTTGATGTGCTGTTGAATTGGGTTTGCTAGTATTTTATTGTAGATTTTTGCATCTATATTAATAAAGAATATTGGTCCATAGTTTTGTTGTTGTTGTCATTGCATCCTTTCCTGGCTTTGGTATCAGGGTGTTACCTGCTTTGTAGAATGAGTTGTGGAAGATTCCCTCCTTCTTGAAGTTATAGAATAATTTTGGCATATGGATACCAGCTCTTCTTTGTGGGTCTGGTAAAATTTGTCTGTGAATCTATCCAGTCTGGGGATTTCTTTTGTTGGAAGATTTTTTTATTACTGCTTTAATCTTCTTGCTCATTACTGGTCTGCTTAAGAGTTCTATTTCTTTCTGAATGAGTCTTGAGAGGTTGGTTTTTCCAGGAATTTGTCCATTTCCTCTATGTTTTTGAGTTTATGTGTGTGTAGATTTTCACAGTATTCTCAGATGATATTTTGTATTTGTGTGGTATCAGTTGGAATATCTCTTTTTTTATTTCTGATTGAGCCTATTTGGGTCCTTTCTCTTTTATTTTATGGTTAATCTAGGAAGAGGTCTATCAATTTTGTTTATCTTTTCAAAGAACCAACACTGTGTTTCATTTGTAGTTTGATCCTTTTTAGGTTTTTTTGTTTGTTTGTTTTCCCTTTTGTTTAGTTCTGCTGTAATCTTCATTATTTCTTTTCTTCTCCTGGCTTTGGGTTTGGTTTTCTCTTCCTTTTCTAGGTCCTTGAGACATGTCATTAGATTGTTAATTTGTGATCTGTCTTATTGATGTAGGCATTTAAGTCTGTGGATTTTCCCCTAAGACTGTTTTTGCTAAATCCCATAGATTTTGGTAGCTTGTGTCCCCTTTGTCTTTCAGTTTGAGGAATCTTTTGATTTCCATCTTAATTTCCTTTTGACTCAATAATCATTCAGCAGCAGGTTAATTTCTATGACTTCATGTAGAATTGAGTGTTTCTCTTAAAGTTCATTTCTAGTTTTATTCCACTGTGGTCTGAGAAGATATGTGGTATGATTTCTAATTTTTTGAGTTGGTCGAGACATGTTTTGTGGCCTAAGAGATGATCAGTCTTGGAGAATGTTCCGTGTGCTGATGAGAAGAATGTATATTCAGTAGTTTTGGAGTAGAATGTTCTGTGAGTGTTTGCTAGTCCCATTTGTGCTAGTTCCAGTTTAAGTCCAGTGTTTCTTTGTTTATTATCTGCTTGGCTGATTTGTCCAGTTCAGTCAGTGGGGTGTTGAAGTCCCTAGAAATTATGATACTGCTGTCTATCTCTTTGCTTAGGGTCTGCTTTATGAATCTGGGCATTCCTGTGTTAGATGCATAAATATTTAAGATTGTTATGTCTTCTTGTTGAATTGCTCTCATTATCATTATATAATGGCCATCTTCGTCTTTTTTACAATTGTTGATTAGAAGTAAATTTTATGTGATATGAGAATGGCTACACCTGCTTTCTTTTTGTTTCCATGTGTATGAAATATTTTTTTCCATCCTTTCATCTTGAATCTGTATAAGTCCTTGAGGATT